AATCAACCAGTGAAGTAGCAAGGTATTCCCTGATTGGCCTTTCAGTTAGATGTTCAGGCTAGCCAACCAATGAGAAGTCTTGTATTAAAGCCATTCTAACTTGCATGTAAACAAGACTGTCTGTTATGTTTTTAATAGTATAGAGTGAGTGCATGTGGTTATTCATTTTAGTAATCATTTATTTAATTTCAATAAAAAAAAACTGGTCTTAGAATATTGAACAAATTATACAAAAAAATAAAACATTGACGCCATCAGGTAGAGATTAATATTTAATACCTAAAATATAATATAATGTTTGAAATGAAGTTGTTGAACTGTGTAAATTTCTACATTGATCTATTTATAGCTTTATAGTTTAGAGACAATACAAATTACTGGTAGTTGGTCTATTATAAGGTATACAGCCAGTCAAAGAATGTATTTATAAACTGATCTTATTATTTTTTTAGGATTATTTCTTGTGTTTTCCGCTAAACTGATCATTGAACCGTGTGTGCATCATTTCATTCAACTATTCTAGCTCATGTGCACCATGTCATTTCACATTGGATCGTGATATACTTTGCTCTAACTTTGATGATTTTTTGTTCTATGTATATTGTGCTGTAGGAAATGATTTAATTTAATAATATTAAAGATTGCAAAGCAATGCACATAAAATATACCTGAGCCATACCCTTTAGTTTTGCTGTGAAAGTACGGTACTATTAGAATGACTTTGATGTGCTAAGGCTGTGTCATTCACGGAGACTAATTGTTTGGTTGTGAAACAAAAGTCTTTTTGTTGGATTTTACTTGCAGCTGCACATTCTGAATGTAAGATCCAATGCTTCTAATAGAGCTAGTACAGTATTATAGCAACATTATTTTCTATTAATGGGCAACTACGGTCAGAACGTTGAGTGACAATGTGACCTTTCATTGAACGGTTTATGTCACAGATATCTAGAAGGTGAAACAGTGCATCAGGTTATTTGAGGAGACTTTTCGCTCCACTCACTTGCCTTCCTTTCAGCCGCCCAAATCATGACCCATGGGAGCTAATTATAACTCTCCAAATTCAAACTATTTCGAAGAGATTTTAATAGCATACCGGTAGTTTGCATTATACTGTTCAAACATGCCCTTTCTACATGTACAAAATGTACATGCAGCTTGCTAGATTTTAAAAAAAAATAAGACATGTTAGAAAATATGTACTAGATTTCAGCGCTTGATTTTTGAATGGTCAAACCCTAATTTAAGGAAAGTGAGAGCCTGAAAACATCATTTCTTGTACATGTTTGCTGTGTGATTTGGCTCTATGATCACGAATTGATAAAAACAAAAAATATCACATACTGACACTTCCACGATTTCTCCATACTCTCGTTATTTTATTTTATTAAAAATGTTTTAAATTTAATTATTTAGTAGATTCATGTAGTCATTTCTCGGACCATGTCTGGACAATAGGATACTGAAGATACAT